TCCCTGGTTCCACCAAAAAAAACAACACAGCTCAGACTTGTAGTGATCCTCCTGTTCTCAGCCTCTGAAGTGTTGGGATTACAGGCATGTGCCACCACACCCAGTCTAGAAGTGGGATTTGTTGTTGCTGCTGTTGGATTTTGAGAGCAAGCCTGCAGCTTGATTTCTGGTACATTCATGGGGAGTTAACGGTATACTGAATTACTAATTGACCGAAAACTTGTAAAAAGTTTATTGTAGAGTTGGCCAAATAGCTCAGTGGATTAAAGCTCCTGTAAGAGGCCCAGGGGCCGGGATTTCGATCTCTGGGCCTGCCTTGCCGGCAAGCCCCAGACACTCTGAGACAGCAGTTGAGACTCTGCGTGGTGGCGCGCCTGTAATCCCAGCTCTTGGGAGGCTGTAAACAGGTGAATCACTACGAGTCCGGTCTAGTAGTGCAAGAGACCCTGAGTACCCTGTAGAACATTTTGTAAAACTGGAAAAAAAAAAAAAAAAAAGTAGAATAAGTAGGTAAAGGCAATGTTTTGTCTTGTTTTTAGATTCTTGTAAATAGGTGAATAAATTAGCAGAGCAACTAGTTAATCTAACTCACTTTTCCACCACTGGCACCAGAAAACTTGCTCTTGATTTCTATTGGTCTAGCAGGCTGTTGCCAGTACACAGGCCTTCATTGCCAGAGGGATTCTCACAGGGTGTCTCTCTGATTTATGAGGGGCGCCTGAGGCTTTTAGGGCCTTTCTGGCACAGTTAGAGCTCTGCTCAAGAATTCCAGAAGGGATCCAGAAAGTCCTAGGGAAGAGAGGAACGTGTGAACTAAAGTGAGCGGGCTGTGCCACCAAAGCAGTGAGCCCGGCTCCAGTGTGGTCACACTGCCGCATGGGTGACATCTGGTCTCTCCTCGACAGTGCACGTTCGAAGGCTGCGGGAAGCGCTTTTCACTGGACTTCAATTTGCGCACACATGTGCGAATCCATACCGGAGACAGGCCCTATGTGTGCCCCTTCGATGGCTGTAATAAGAAGTTTGCTCAGTCAACTAACCTGAAATCTCACATCTTAACACACGCTAAAGCCAAAAACAACCAGTGAAAAGAAGAGAGAAGACCCTTCTCAGCCACGGGAAGCATCTTCCAGGAGTGGGATTGGGAATAAATATGCCTCTCCTTTGTATATTATTTCTAGGAAGAATTTTAAAAATGAATCCTACACACCTAAGGGACTTGTTTTGATAAAGTAGTAAAAATTTAAAAAGAAACTTTAATAAGATGACATTGCTAAGATGCTCTATCTTGCTCTGTAATCTCGTTTCAAAAACACGGTGTTTTTGTAAAGTGTGGTCCCAGCAGGAGGACAATTCATGAACTTCGCATCAAAAGACAATTCTTTATACAACAGTGCTAAAAAAAAAAAAAAATGGGACTTCTTTTCACATTCTTATAAATATGAAGCTCACCTGTTGCTTACAATTTTTTTAATTTTGTATTTTCCAAGTGTGCATATTGTACACTTTTTGGGGATATGCTTAGTAATGCAATGTGTGATTTTTCTGGAGGTTGATAACTTTGCTTGCAGTAGATTTTCTTTAAAAGAATGGGCAGTTACATGCATACTTCAAAAGTATTTTCCTGTACAAAAAAAAGTTATATAGGTTTTGTTTGCTATCTTAATTTTGGTTGTATTCTTTGATGTTAACACATTTTGTATAATTGTATCGTATAGCTGTATTGAATCATGTAGTATCAAATATTAGATGTGATTTAATAGTGTTAATCAATTTAAACCCATTTTAGTCACTTTTTTTTTCCAAAAAATACTGCCAGATGCTGATGTTCAGTGTAATTTCTTTGCCTGTTCAGTTACAGAAAGTGGTGCTCAGTTGTAGAATGTATTGTACCTTTTAACACCTGATGTGTACATCCCATGTAATAGAAAGGGCAACAATAAAATAGCAATCCTAAAGAAGAGTATGGCAGAAAAAGATCTGTAAGTACAGTCTTATTTTCTTTTGTTGTCCAGAATACTTAAATTCTTGAGCCTCCCAGAAATTGGAAGCTAAATAAAGCAACTCAAGTTTCCTTTATTTTGCACTCAATTACAGTGACTTGTGGTTAAAGTGATGCATGTATATTTTAATACTTTTTACATGTCCTGAATTCTGAAAGAGTAGGTGGCAGGCACCCTGCGGTAAGGAACTACCTCAGTACCCACGCCGAGCTGTGGGTGTAGACTGGACTTCAGCCTCTGCGGCCGGGGCACAGCGCAACAGTCTTGCACGGCCTGAGCCCTTCCCAAGGTAAGGGGCCAGATGGCCGTGGGCGTGTAGAGGAAGACCAGGCCTTCCTTCCACCGCCCAGGCTCCCATGAAGGCAGTGCTGGGGCCCTTGGCTTGTCCAGTGGGAGACACAGTTGCTGGTTATGTGCTTTGAGAGCCTGCCTTCCCCCATCTTAGTGGAGTCTATGAAACGCTAGCCAGTGCGGCCAGTGAGCACCAATAGCAGAATTTCAGGCTTCTAAACGGACACTGCGTGCTGATTGATTGGCAAGGTGATTAGTTAGGTTCCTAGAGAATTGTACTCAGTGAGTACTTGACCTCTTGTTTTGTGGCTTGTTAATACATACAGTTATAATTTCAGAGTTTTACTTAGGATCAAATACAAGACTTGCTGAGAATATTTTATAAACTGCCATGGTACAGCAAAATCCCATTTATTCAAAATGCAAACACATCGTGTGTCTGCTGTGCTGAGTGCTTTGCTCTGCGAGGTAGATGACAACCTAGCTCAGAGCAGATTTCTTTATGAAAGGCCCAAGACACCATCGGTCCAGCAGTGTAGCCTGATTGCTTCCAGCTTCTTCACCAGGAGCGTTGGTGGCCTGATAACATGGACCCTGTGGCTCTGGAATTTTGAAGTGCCTTCTGACTCATAAAAGAAAGCTCCAACTTCAGACACTTGTGTTTATTTGTCCAGAACCTCTTACCCATTGGGCAGTTTGAAACTGAGATGACTCGAAGACCCCAGGTGTTCCCTGGCAGTCAGGAGAGGGAAGCCCACGGTGGAGGCTGGCCCTTCAGGCTGGTGGCCCTTGGCCAGCTGGGGCAGAGTTCCATCGGTCCATCCTGTGCCCGCCCACACCTCCCTCTCCTGGCAGCTGGTAGAGCCGTCCAGGTGGCTGCACAGAGACCCTGCTCCAGGCAGTGACTGATTCCGGGCGCAAGACCACATCACCACCCAGCTCTTCCTGTGCTGGAGTCTGGCCCTGCCTGCAGTGCTGGGACACGTGCCATGACCTGTGGCCTGCAGGGGCTGGGCTCCGCAAGGAACCAGGTGCCCCTTCCTTGTGCCTTCATCCTGTGGGGGTGCGCTTGGCCATCTCTGCCCTTTCTGTCTGCTTGGAGGAGTGATCATCCTCCCCTTTATCTGTTCCCGTCTTCTTGGTCTGCAGAGTTTACTTCTACAAAGAATTTAACTCGGGGTTCAAAGGAACCTCACGATGTAGCCCTTTGAGCTGACAGCAGTAGTGTAGGAAGCTCGTAAATGAGCAGCAGTGTAAGTAGAGGTAGTTTTCACTGGGTTTAACTTAAACCCCCTTTGCTTGTTAGAGTTTATAATTTTGCTAAAGATGATATTTACTACAATTTGAAATGTGTTCTAACAGTGATTCCATTGTCTTGAGAATTAAATCTAATTTATGAGTAATACTGATAGACATATTTTCTTACATCTGAGCAGAAATAAATGCATGTTTCTAGCATATGTAATATAAAACTCCAGAGAATAAGTTTACACCTAACAAGATGTCGTTTTCTATTTTTGAATTTATCCCCCCCCCCTAGAAGAGAGACGCCGCGGGGGGGGGCGGGTTTCAGCAGGCATATTTCTATAAAGAATTGTTACTCCAGAGTGACATTTATTTTACAAGGTGACACTGAGCTCATGCTGTTGGTCTCATGGTATTTGCTTTGCCCTGACCCAAGGCCTGTGGGGTTGAGGGACTCGAGATTTCCTTTCCTTAACTGGTTCATGGGGAGGCGCTGGTAAATGCCACTTGACTGGCTAGCTCTGGAAAGTAGCCCCGCACCCCTCCCCCTGAAGTGTGTGCAGCTCCCGCCCATCTTCACAGTGAAGAGATGTCTGGTGGGCAGTGTGTGCCTGGTGAGATGGTGGCCTGGCTGTCATTCGAGTCCTGACCTGGCTTCCAGTGGCTGCCCCCGCCCATGGGCCCCCAGCAGAGCTCATGTGTTGAGAGCCCACCTCTCAAGTGTCCTGAGCTATGTTTGTGTCTGCGGCAAGGGAAAGCGTGGCCCTGCAGGAAGGCTTAGAATTGGAAATTGCTCATCCCACCCACTTGCACCATGGGTGGAGCCGGGGCCCATTCTGTCTGATCTGGAATCGGCATGGCCTGGGGAAATCACGTCAATCTCATTCCATGATGTCTTTGGCATTTGACCAGTAGCAAGAGCAGAGATCCAGAGGTCAGAAACACCAAGAGAGCTGCTGCTGCTGCTGCTGCTGCCAGGCTGCCCTTTGGGCCTGGCGCTGAGTCGCGTTGCCCCATCTGACTGCAGCCCTTGGTTCTTGGGCCTGCCTGGCTCTCAGCCCTGGCACAACCACAGCATCTCAGTGGAGGACCCAAGAGGTGGGGCAGAAGCCAAGCTCGAGACCTGGCCATACACTTTGTCCCCGCACTCCGCTTTGCCAAAGGTGCCCCACACTATGTTACTGGTTTTGGGCTTGTCACTGCTCAGGTTGTGCTCACAGGGGCAGCTCCAGGCTATCAGTATAGCTGGGAAGCTAGGGAAACTTGCTGGGCGAAATAGGTGGCACGTATGTGGACCGCTAGCTCAGCCCCTGAAGGTGCCGGATGGGCAAATCATGCTCCCGCCCACTGGTACAAAAGGTGAGAGCTGCCTTAGCCCCAGCGCCCCGGCCAGCCTGCTGGGAACCATGCAAACGCCTGGGAAGGCCCCTCACGCTTGGGGCAGGAGCTGGTGTTGGGCTGCGCACCAGGCAGGGAGATGGGCATCAGTCAGTCCCATACAGTGACCTCGTTTTCCACGTCGGTGCCTGCTTGGCTCTTGCTCGCAGGTGTTCACTTTACGGTGACTTGTAGGCCCTGGCTCGAGGGTGTAGCAGTGTGTCTCATGTTCATCTTTTTAAGTATTCTTGGCCATTTCTGGAATTGTCCTTGTTTTTTCCTTAGCTCATAGGTCATAGACTCAGAACTATTATAGTATTTAAGGCATCCGCATCAAGCATCCGATGGCTTTGCATCCAGAAAAACATTGATAACTCAGTTTGAAGCACCAAGCATGTGTAACATGGCTCTATAAAATACAATAAATGCATAATGTTAAGCTCTCTAAAGTCTGTGGTCGTCGTTTGTCCACATTTCTCTGTCTTCCTAAACGTGAGCTTCTGCGCTCACTGCCGGGGCTGTGATCCATCGGGCTGCAGAGCAAGCTCATGACCCTGGTCTTACCCTGGGACTTTCCCTGGTGCACGGCGTTGTCCAGGTGGCAGGCATCTAGGTTTGGAGGGAAGGGGCCCGAGCTTTGGCCGGCCCTTGGGTGGGCTCCCTGCCGAGAGAGGAAACCAGCACCTTGACACCTGCTTGTTTCATTCACCCTGCCAGTAGGGATGGCCCCCGAGATGGGCTTGCAGAAGTTTGGGGAGCCAGTTTCCTCCCGGCCTCTCCAGGAGCCTTTCATTCCCAAGCTTTTTTCTGGAGTTTGTCCTCCATGCCTTTAGCGCACACTGCCCATGCCCACACTCAGAAGAGCCCTGGCACCTGTGTCCCACATATCTGGAAGACGCTGGCCGGAAGACACCCGAGCACAGTGAGGACTGTGCTCCCTAGCTAGGCCCTCCCCGGCCTGCGCTGCTGCCCCTGGCCATCTCCAGCACATCTCGCTTCGCGTGAGCTGGGCCTCTTCTAGCAGCCAAGCCTGCAGCTGCCGCGGGGCACGCAGACTCGGAGGGTAGCCGGGGCTGTACCACCGCCTGCGGCCGCGCGAGGGCGCTGTGTGCTGCGCGAGGTGCGTGCGCATGCGTGTCCCTGCCCACGCCACCTTCAGCGGGTCCCTAGGGTGTTTGGCAGCGGACGGGCGTGGCGGAGAGTGGGGCACCGGGTGCTCCAGAGAAGCCTGGCCTGGCCTGGGGTACGCGCGGTGCCCTGGAGGTTGAGCACGGACTCTGGCACGCGGGACCGCGGCTAGCAGGCGCCGGCCGTGCAGTGGGTCTGGGCAGGGATTGGAGCCCGAGGGAGGTGGGGAGAGCGAGGGTCAGCCCTGACCTGCAGCGGGGCCCTGGCTCGACAAACAAAAATGTAAAATAGTGTTTAATAAAAGTCGTGGCCACTATGTCTTGTCATCCAGGAGGCCCAGCCTCACACAGTGGGCTGTGCGACTTGTTTTCTTTTGCCGCAAATTCGTTCTGCAGAGCCTGTTTCTTTCCCACCTTCAATAAAACTCAGCTACCATTTAAAGGTAAAAGTAAATAAATAGTGATTCTCGCCCACCCCACTGTTTCTGTCACCTTCTGAAGTGGCTCCGAAGTCGTTTCCTGTGTGTGCAGGACGTGGTCAGAATTACAGCAAACACCGTGCCCAGGACCATCCAGTGGAAAGGCAAAACGTAAACATGCTGCGTCCCCTCCGCCTTGTCCTCTGGATCCGGCACTGGCGTGACTTCTGGCTCTGCCCAAAGTTAAAGTGACCACCAGGGACCAGCATCCAGTCCGCCTGGAGGACAAGACACTCCCGAAAGAGGACTTCAGAGCTGTTTCAGAGAGTGGCCAGGGCAGGGCCGGGGAGATCGCTCAGCGGTCTAAGCACCTGCATGGCAAGTGCAAGGTCCCAAGTTTGAACCATGGAATCCCCCCAAAAAGAGAAAGTGGCCAGGACAATGGGGTTCGCGTTCTAAGAGGGAGCGTTCTAGGCAGATGAGTGGCAACGTGTCCTTTACTGTAACAAATTTTAAAACTGT